CCCCCCCCCCCCCCCTCAAAATAGACTGCAACAACCGTATTCATCAAATACTCGATGGTGGAGAAAAATAACTTCAAATTAGAAAACAAAAAAAAAAGATTATTATCGAGTATATAGCAATAATTATAAATGAAATCGAGCGCGCTTAAATGAAAAAAACAATATTTTCTTTTTTTAATATATATTTTTAATATACAAATAAATAATAAATTCCTGCTCTTTTCATCGATTCTCAAGGAAAACAACTACACACTAAGATAAAATGTGTCGCATGTGTCTCACTTTGCGGCACAATGTACGACACATTAATATGCGACACGAGGAGCTCGTTGCGACACATTTCTTCCAGCGGACGTACGACACATTCTTGTGCGACACATTTTTAACACGTGGTTCGAATCCATTTTTCGGCACGAGGAGTTTTTTTTTTGAAAATTCGAATAGTTACTATTTTTTCAGTTAATTTTAAACAGTAGCACCTATTCTTGGAGTTCGAGACGGTAGATCTTAAGATCTAGCTGCCTCGAGACGATTTGATCTCGATCAGACTACTTCGAGGCAGTCCATTCTCGATCATCTAGCGACCTCTCGACATGTTCTCGAATAATAAATGGTCGAGAAATAATCTAGAAAAAAAAGACATACGAAAATGTATAAGTCAAGTACGTCCAATAGGCTCGGTTATATGCAGCTGCACTCGCGAAACAAATCGATGAATGAACGATTGACATATAGGCTATGACACATCTATAATGCGACACATTTTTGTACGACACATTTTTATAATGGAGTCTGCGACACATTCTTGTACGACACATATATACGACACATCTTATTTTATTGTGTATAGTTGACGAGAAGTCTTTCAGTATACAAATGATGCGTCAGGTAACAAAGCTAAAGGTATACGTGAGTTCCACATTTCAGCTCCGCAGAAGCTGCGCTAACAAGCTTTTTTTGTTCAATCAGTTCAGTTTTATTATCAAAATAAAATAATGATGAAATAAAATAGTAACTACGATAGATATATCACCTGAAACAGCTGTATAAAAAAAAGACAAAATGCATCAAAAGTGAATAACTGTTTTTTCGGTACTGTTTGAATAGATTTTACATTCAATTTCATTAGTTTTTAATACAGTCACTGAGTGTATTTTTTTGAATATTAGGCACGGTCTTTACATCATCAAATAATAATTTAAGTGTTTTATTAGCATATTCAATTTTAGTCGTCAATAATTCTTCAATAATAATTGGTGTTGTTTTATCTTGAATCAAACGTACAAAATCAGTTGCATTTGTACATCTCTTTCCTGACATAACATCTTGATAGACCATTCTCTTCACACTGCCACCTATGCCATCAACAACACTAGGAACACTTACTAAAGGCTGACATACACTATTCTTACTATACTTTCTCAATGCGATCCATGATTAACCGATTATCACTTCAAAAACTTTTTCTTTTGATATGCCATACTTCTTCATAATACTCTACCTAAATATCACTTACCTTTTCCATGATTACTAGCAAAAAAATTCCATGATAAAGTAATATCAAATTTATTCGCTAAATATGATAAATTTTTAAATAAAAATCTTTGCTTGAACTGACTTGAACTGCCATCACTGAATATGATTAATTCATCTAATGATGGTATCAATATCTGTAAACGTGTAAGGATGCGTTCAAGACAGGTAGCAACTGTATATTTATTATGTGATATATCTTTCGATACAATAACAAGAGGATAAGTTGTAGAATTTGTCCATACATGAGCAGTAAATAATGACAGTTGCTTTCTAGACCAATGTACGCTCTGAATTTGTTTACGTTTTCGATCTTTTTGCTTCATAATCTCACTCAATCCTGCTTTCTTCTTTTTTTCTCGGCAACGTCGAGCTCTTTCAGCACCAGAAAGAACCATTATTAAAGAAAAGTGAATATGTACATTGAGAATAAAAAATGTTTAATCTAAAATTTTAAAAATGAACAGATTTCTGGAAAATTATGTTCCAAAAAAAAAACGAAATACTATAAACTATAATAGTAAAAAATGCTTTATGTTCATCGTAAAATCTATGTACTAAAGTAATACGAATAAATTTTCTATCGTAGGGAAAAAAATATGAATCAGTGTAAGCACATTATAAATAGGATTTTATCTCATGAAATTCCGTAACGGAGTATTATTAAGAAAAATACACAAAAGCAAAAGTAAAGTTGGCAAAAAACTAATGCATTTGATAGATCTTTTTAACATCTATCTGACTGTGGAAGTTTTAAAATATTAACTTCTACTATGCGCAAATACGATGTATTATACACTCTTTTCGTTACGGAATTTCATGAAAAATGAGTACAGATTATAAATGTGTACACAACCTACATGATAATTGAAACCTTTTGCGAAACTCATATTCTGACAGAGCATGTCAACTTCTATCAATAGTTGTCAAATTTGAACAAATCAAATATATTTATCAACACATAATAAGGATTTGTTTATAGTGACCCAATCAGCTTTTATTATTAGTACCTCATTGGACAAGAAAGTAACGATAACGCTAGTTCACGACAGAGTATTCAGAGATTGGCGACATCTGTTCTGTGCCTTATCACTAGTGCTCTTTCGACTGGCAGATTCAGTTTTACTGACTTTTGAAATCAAACCTTCCCCATGCGTAGGTAACCGCTGGCTGGTTGTGCCCTTTTTGGTGTTGTGTGATCCAATCAAGGGTTGAATAGCGGAATCCAGGAATCTTGAAGTCCAGGATTCCGATAACTTTGTTGAATTCCCTTGGATTCCCTCGGATTCCCTTAGATTCCCTTGGATTCCCTCGGATTCCCTTGCATTCCATCGGATTCCCTTGGATTCTCTCGAATTCTCTTGGATTCCCTTGGATTTCCTTGGATTGTCTCGGGTTCCCTTGGATTCCCTTGGATTCCCTCGGATTCCATAGAATTCCCTTGGATTCCATAGGATTCTCTTCGATTCCGTGGAATTCCCTCAAATTCCATAGAATTTCTCATGATTCTAGTAGGCCTCTGAGAATATATTAAAGGACACTATTTGATTCACAACAGTGATTCATGCTCGTATCTGCTTTTCCTTTTTCTTCATTCGTTTGTGACTGCCGATATATACATGTACATATCTATGTCTAGCCAGTTCTGTTAGGTTAAATTTTTGTTCTTAGGGCCATGCTATATTCGCTATAGGAACCGTTCTATTTCTTTGTTTAGGTGTTCATAGCTATAGATTAAATTTATTTTAACAGAGTTATTAGTACATACTAGAATCAATGAGTTACTTTCATAAATGACTAAATTTTTGACATGCTTCGATGCTAATGGTCATAAAATTAATGTAATAGTATTCAAAAATGTTCGAGTCATTTTTTATTCAATTCTACTTGACTGCATTACTCGTCATAGTCTGTCAGTCGTTGAACGATCAGTTTTCTCAGTCAATGGGCACAATGCTGACTGCTTGTGTAAGTATTTAATGGTATTATTAATTTTTAGTTTAAAATATGAGTTTACAGAATCGGGATTGATTTTATCCTTGATATGTATTCCAGGAAAATTTGTTTTTGTAGATTGAATAGTTTCCTCCTCTTTGTCAAACACATCATCATCATAATCAGAATTAACCCTGAAACGTCCACCTTCCGGACTACTACTTGTTGACCACCTGGGGTCCGTACGGATCCCAGCCTGATAAAATAGAAACAATATACTACATTACCATTGTTTTGTAATAGAACTATAATAGTTCCGAAGGAGACTTATGTCTAAGAAGAACAAACAGAACAGCATTTTATTTGAATAGTATTTATTCAATCTTTTTTACGTTGTTCTCGTCCCTAGCATGATTTCTTTTTTCTTAGAACTGAAATTTCGGCAATATGTAATGTAGCTGGAAACTAATTGTTCCTTAAGCAACGCTCTATTTTTACAGCATCGGTCTGATTGACTGCTGTTACCAGCGTACTCTACTAGGTGTTCCTGAAGCGTTTATGGAAGGACAAGACCCTATCTAAGGCTACAATTACAAAACATTAAAAAGAATTTCACTGGGGTCCGCGTGGATCCCAGGTGGGCAACAAGCGTTCACACGTACTTCGAGATAGTTTATCATGTAAACAACTAGTTATGACGAACAGCTGAGGTCAGCGGCATATAATACAAATCTTCACTAGAGCATATCTAAAGAGGCGGGATTTGGTCTGACGTTGTGTGTGAATAACACTTAAATGAAATTAGTTGGAGTCCAGGCGGACTTCAGGTGGGCGTATCAGGGTTAAAAGGTTTAATCGAGTACTATCTGTCTTTTAAGGTGACACATCAGTTGAGCCTTTGACAGTTGAGCTCCAACAGATGAGCCCTCACACATGAGCCTATTGACATTTGAGCCTAACACATTTATTAACCAAATAAAGAACTTATTACAATACAGAAATCAATAATTTCAAAAATTAAACAAGGCTCGGGCTCTTTTAAAGTATTCATTTCTTGACATTGTAGGGTGTGGGGTGGGGGTGGGGTGAGTGTGAGTATGGTTGTCTTTATCTGAAACCAGAGACCAACACTCTACACCCACACCCACACCCACACCCACACCCACACCCACACCCACACC